CGATCCGACCAGAGGGGGTGCATTCCCAGGGGCGGCACGTGGCGCGGCCTCTCTCTCTTTGCCTCCTGTTGGATGATCTCTTGGTAACAGTCAACTCCGTCGGGCTCGCCGTGAAGACCTGGGCGCCATCTGAGCATGTCCCTGTCGTCGCCGCCGTCTCGGCCAGCGCCCCCGCTGCCTCGCCCGCCCAGAGTTCCCAGTGGATTGCCCAGCAGCAGTTGCGTCGCGGGCCCTGATGTAGCGCGACCCAGGAGACCGATCGGAGGCTCTCCCCCAGGGACTAGCTCGCTCGGGCCATGGAGGCCGTCTTGCCGAGGGCCCCGATTTTCAAGTTTCGTTCGCGTCTTGGGCCCCCGAAGCCCCGGCGCGAGAGGTTGCGCTTCGCTCTGACGTCGCATGCGCGGCGGACTGAGACCTTCTCGCTGCGCGTCAGGACCATGAGAGCCTGCGTCTTGGTATTCCTGCATTCGGAGCCTGGGAGGGAACGTTGCTCGGGCGATCCTGGCTCGGGGGGCGCCTGTTCAGGCGCGGGCGAGATGCGGCGGCGGGGCTCAGGCGCGCGGGGGGCGGATGACAACGCGAGGAGCAAGAGGATGACATGGGTCCAATGCCTGCGGAGAGTTTGGGCTAGCGACATGGGCTCTCTGGAATTCTGGACTCTGTCGGCCGCGTCTGCCCGCCCCCCGATGCGTCGGCCGCTGCCCTTGAACCCCGTCGGGGGCAAGTCTTCGCGCGCATATTGGACGTCGATTCCTTGGCAGACAGCTCGCCATGAAGGCCGCTCTGCCCCGGGGGTGGCGGGGCTCCATATGGGCGGTGGGAGGCAGGGGGAGTTCCTGACGTGCTGCTTGATGCGCACTGAGATGCATGATGCTTCTGGAGGGGCGGTTTTTCCGAGCACGATGCGGGGCCGCCCGTGCGCGCGCGTGCGCTTGTCATTGGAAGGCTTCATGGAGACGAGAACCCTGCGGAGTTCGTTCGCGGCCCAGTTCTGGCGCGACCCATGACTTCGGCGACCGCTGGCGCTAAGTTTTCGAGGGGTGCTTTCTCGATTCGCGAGGCGCGATCGACCCAGTTGATCGAGGGGGGCGTTTCTGGGAAGGTGGTTACTGGACAACGTTGTCGAGATCGAATGGTGAAGGATCCGGAAGATTTTGATTGGCGGGGGGGCGCTCCGGGGTTTTCTTGACAGGCTTCAAGGCTGCCTGCCCATCCACGATGATTGCGCGGCCTCTTGCAGTTCTCGCAGCGACAAGCGTTGCAGATGAAGCCCGCGGTTTCTACAGGGCTCTGCATGCGGGCAGCGCCACGGCAAGCAATTCCCCTGGCACATCGCCAGTGGAGCTTGCGGCTGCGAGAGCGGCTTGACAGGGTGCCCCCGCGATGATATTGCACTGCGCGCATGCTCTGGATCCTGTCTTGAGACGTTTGGGCGAAGTTAGAGGAGCTTGTCAAGCGGATTTGGGCCCATGCCGATGATCGGTGTTTCCGTCTTTCCGCCTTCCTTTTTGGCCTTCAGCTTGCCATGCAGTTGTTGCTCTCTATCTCTCTCTTTCTTTCTCTTTCTCTCTCTCTCTCTCACTCTCTCTCATTGTTGTTTCTTTATGTCTGTCTTTCTTTCTTTATTTCTGTCTTTCTCTCTTTGTTTTTGTTTCTCTCTCTCTCTCTCTCTCTCCCTCTCTTTCCCTCTTTTGTTTGTTTGTTCTCTCTCCCTCTCTCACTCTCTCTCTCTCTCTCTCTCTCTCCCTCTCTCTCTCTCACTCTCTCTCTCTCTCTCTCACTCTCTCTCTCTCTCTCTTTCCCTTTCTCCTCCTCGGAAGGGCGGCCGTCTTGGCCCGGGCGTCTACGGGTGCAAGGTCCCAGCCACAGGGGCTTTGAGACCCGAGCAACTCGCTGGTCACATGCGGCAGAAGAGCAGCTTTGCCCAGGTCGTTGGATTCGCCCATGCTGCCCTGCACCTCGGATTATTGCTGGGGCCTGGCGCGTTACCGATAGTCTGGGTTAACGTGGCCCCGAAGTTTTGGGTGACTGTGCGAGGGCTCGCGCGGGCGATCATGTTCTTCCACCCGCGCTGTCCGTCGATCCTGGCACGCCAGCTGCAGTTGCGCCCAGTGACGAAGCAGCTCCAGAAATCTGATCACGATATGTTGCAGGTGATCCAGGCGGGCCTTCGCCATGCCTTCCCTAGAGGAGTTAATTGGGCAGCGGGTGTTTGGTGCTTCCCTGGAAGTTTGGGATATTGATTTTTCGAAGGCCATGATGCGTCGGGCCCTGATGTCGCGTTCGACTCTGGATGATATTCAGTATGAGATGGAAGCTTTAACGGCTTATCTGAAAGACGATGAGATCACCCCCACACGGGCCGGCTGGGCTCGGCGGGGGCCGTCTTGGATATGGGCGTTGGCGGACGCATTAGGTAACTTCTCAGCGCCCACTCTCGCACCCATCCCCCGGAAGCAGCTCCAGAACCATAGCCTTGAATCGGATGACAGCCCTCCGTGACCCCATGGTGCCTCTTCGCACACTGGCCCAAGCGGGCGGGGCCCGACCGTTTGTCGGTCGCCGGTTTTGAGGTGCTGGCCAGGAGGACGCGGCGAGTAGAGGAAGGAAACGCGATGCACCTTGCGACAGGCGTCGTCAAGCGACAGCGTCGGGAAGTACGCGCGTCGAGTCGTCGTTGTACCACTCTGCAAGGTTGCGCCTTTGGATGTGCGGGGGAGTCTGCTGATGACGACCTTCGGCGTTACCATGTGTGTCTGGACCTCAAACATTGCCTCGTCGGCATATTTCCCCGCGGTGGTCCACTTGCATCGTGGACTGAGCACTTGGATGGGGGTGATTGGCTATTGTCCCTCGGTTGTGTCGGGCCAGATTGGGGGTTCTCGTGAGCTGGTGGGGCGCGCTGCCATTGGCGGTTTCATGGCTGCCCACTGCTCGTCGGACGGGCCCCCAGGTCCCATGGGGCTTCCTTGTCAATGCGCGGTTGAGGCAACTGTCTCGCCGTCGCCCCAAACTGCTGGAAGCGCTTCAGTCGCTCCTTCTGGTTTCCGCTGCTCGGGGAGCCCCCGGTCTTCCTCTCCCCTTTTCCCCTTGCCCCCTGGGCAGACTGAGAGCCGCCCCCCTCTTTCTGCCCGGCTTTGTTGCGGCATCCTTAGCTCCCCTTGCCCGGCCCCCCTGCTCCTGCATGTCATCGGCAGTTTTTTGCGACCCTTGTGGGTCTTAAGGATGGCTGACTGTTTGCACTTGTTTTGGGCGGCGCTGGAAACGGCTGCCATTTCAGGCTTCCTGCAAGTCTTGGCTAATGATCACCAAGGTTCGGATAAGTGGCTTGTGGGCGCTGGCCTTGCCCGCCTGCTTCCCTTTCCTTTCCTTTCCTTGCCCTTTCTGCTTGTTCTCTTCCATCGTCCTGCCGCGGGCTCGCCCCGTCGCCGCCGTCGGTCTCCCGCCCCCCTTCGCCCTCGGTTTGCCGCCCTCCGCTGTTCCTTTGGTCTGCTCCTCCTGCTGCCCTGTCTCATGTGCTTGTTGTCGTTCCTTGTCTCCCCCCCTTCCCCTGCTCCCTGCTGCCTGCTGTTCCTCCTCCTTGTGCCCTTGCTTGTGCGCTTTTGTCTCCCGCGCGGCCTGGGGCTGGGGCTCCCTGACCGGCCCGTCGGTTCGGCGGCGGCGGGCCCCTCGGTACAGGGAGCAGAGCGTGGCTTTTGGCTGGCTATCTGCCATGGGCAGCTAGTATTCAGCGCGCGCGCGCTTGCAGGCCGCACGCGGTGCCTAGAGCGCTCTGCTGCTGAGAGTTCTGTTCCAACCTGCACGCGCCAGGTTCCCGACGACATTCGAGGCACCAGCGGCGCCCTGCCGCTGTCGTCTGTTCTTGGCGAGTCGTCCCGCGCCATGTCTCCGCCGTGGTTCGAGGCCCCTGTGTCGTTGGGTCCTTTCCTTTTTGTGTGTCCTCGTTTTTGTGGGGCGCGCCCCTGTTTGTCCTCTTGCTTTGCTGCTGCGGTGGGTTGGGCCCGGCGCTCGGGGGGGGGCGGCGGGGGCTCGGCTTCGTGCTGGAGGGGCGATTCTCCCGAAGCGCGATGGTCCGATTTTGGTGGGGGGCACGCCCCCACAGAGACAACGGTCTCCTCGTGCATGGCACCCGCCGCTGCTCCGCTCTGCCTCTCTTGCCTTTCTTCGTGCTTCTCTGCGTCGCGCCTCCGCCTCTCCTCCCATGCGCGTGCGTGGCTCGACCTGACGTGGGCGTGGTGAGTGCGAGTGCGGTGGGGAGAATAATAAACTCCTCCCCCAGCCTCCTTCTCCCCCTCCTCCTCCTCCTCTTCCTCCTCCTCCCCCCCCCCTTCCCTCCTCCTCCTCCTCCTCCTCCTCCTCCTCCTCCTCCTCTCCTCCTCCTGCTCCTTCTCCTCCTCCTCCTGCTCCTCCTCCTCCTCCTCCTGCTCCTGCTCCTCCTCCTCCTCCTCCTCCTCCTCCTCCTCCTCCTCCTCCTCCTCCTCCTCCTCCTCCTCCTCCTCTTCCTGCTTCGAAAGTCCAGGTTGGCGCGCCGCTGACCTTTCTCCCCCGGCCCGGTGCCGAGTGGGGGCGCGCCCAGAGGCCGCCGTGCTCGTTGATTCCTCCCGCGTTCTCCTCCAGGGCCTTGCTCCTCTCCTGCTGCTTTCCTACGTTTGCTTCCTCCTGCCGCTTCCCAACCGCGTCCACTCTTTTGGGAAGTGTGGAGTGCCTCCGCCAACGTAGCGTCGTCCAGCGTCTTCATTTGTGCAGCGCAGGGTTCCCAGAAGCCCCGACCTCTGCGAGACACCTTCCCCATGGCCAGTTGTTCACTCCGACTCGTTCTCTGATGGTCCCGAGGCCTGGCGAGGCCCCTCCGGAGGCCGAAACCTGATGGAAAACCATGTGGCGTGATTTTTGCCACGTCGCGAGCATGCCTGGGCTCGTTCCATTCCTCGCCCTCCGCGCAGCCGTTTTGGCTTGCGTGTTTGCCCTGCGCTGCCGTTCCGTCTGGTGCGGGGCTGGGAATGGCTGGGTGCTGCGAGGCGGCGATCCTGCCGTCCGCTCGTCTGGTGAAGCAGACGCCGCGGGATGTCCAGAGGAAAAGGAGGATGAGGAAGTCAAGGAATGGGAGATTGATAATGCAGCTGTTGTTGATGACGGTGGCGACGATGATGGGGAGGATGGGGACGAGACGACGAATGTTGAGGAGGTGGCGAAGAAGTGCGGGGCAAGAGGGGAAGGAAGAAGAGGATGAGTATCAAGAGGAGGTGGAGGAGGAGGAGGAGGAGAGGAGGAGGAGCAGGAGGAGGGGGAGGAGGAGGTCGGCTGCAGAGCCCCTGCAGAGCCGCCGGGTCCGCCATGGCCGCGGGCGGCGAGAGGAGGAGTCTGAGGAGGAGAAAGATGAGGAGGGCGGGGAGGAGGAAGAGGAGGAGGAGGAGGAGGACGAAGAGGAACATGAGGAGGAGGAGGAGGAGGAGGAGGTGGTGGTGGTGGAGGAGAACGGGTTGGGAAGGTGCAGGGGATGAAGGAATCAAGGGTCGAGGGCGAGAAAGAAGACGAAGGTGGGCAAAGCTTGAAGTGGAGGGAACATGGAGGGAACATTTCGGGAGAATGATGATGAGGAGTAGGTATGGGGTGGTTAGATACAGTTGTGGCAGGGAAAATGGTGTACGTTCACGATGCTTCGGATCAGAACAACGGGAACGGGAGGAAGAGGAGGATACCGTCAACGAAGAGTACGCTGATCGTGGGGATGGCGATGGGAACAGGAGGAAGGAGGAAGACCAGGGAGGAAGGGGGCTGCGAAGCAGTGGAGAGCATTGAGCAGATCCAGAACACGAGGAGGGGGAGGAGGTAGAGTAGGAGGGGGAGCGCAGAGCCAGCCCAGAGGGCCATCCAACTTCACATGCAACGCATCAGACCTGGAAAAGTCAGTTAGAATTCGCCGAGCTCTCCGAGCTCAGGGGTGGACCGGGCGGAGGATGAGGAGGAGGAGGAGGAGGCGGAGGAGGCGGAGGCGTAGGAGGAGGAGGAAGACCAGAGTAAACCCAAGACTCATCAACGATGTTGAAATACACCCTCCCTCCAATGTTATTTTTCCTAGGCCCCTACAAGGCTCATCCCCCTGAGGGAATTGCCCCGTTGGGGGACAACCGTGTGAACATCTTTACGTGTGTCGAAACACCGTTCTCACGACTTCAACTCCACGAGTTAACTTGGCTGTCACGTGTTGGCGATCTGGAATCGTGCCAGAAAGCCATCCCTGGTCAACACCGCGAATCAACGTAGCTGTTGCGCATTGGCGACCTTGAACCGTTTCAAGACACCATATCTGGTTTAACCATAAGAGCCCGTGAAACTCCTGCACATGTTTGAAACGAATGTGCGCGGTGCTAAGGCGAGAGCCGCCTTTTGAAAACCACCCACCCTCAATCCGTGAAGCGCTTGCAATTGTTTTGAACGAGTGTGCGCGGCACTGAGGCGACAGCCACATGTTAAAAACCACCTGCCTTCAATACTTTAATTTTTTGTTTGTTTGACGAGTGTGCGCGGCGCTGATGCGAGAGCCACTTTTTGAAAACCACCCGCCCTCGATCCGTGAACCTCTTCCATATATCAAGAACGAATGTACGCGGCGCTAAGACGAGAGCCACACGTTGAAAACCACCCGCCCTCGATCCGTGAAGCTCTTGCTATTGTTGGAAACGAATGTACGCGGCGCTGCGGCGAGAGCCACATTTCGGAAACCAGCCGCCCTCGATCCGTGAAGCTCTGACACCTTTTCAAAACGAATCTGCGCGGTGCCAATGCGAGAGCCACATTGTTGAAAGCCACCCGCCCTTCATCCCTTTCGACCGATCCTGGGGTGCGACAGGGAGAAGTTATCTCAAAGAGGCAGGAATGTAGGATATCGAGGAGGAGTATGAGGAGGAGGAGGAGGAGAAGGAGGAAGAGGAGGAGGAGGAGGAGGAGGAGGAGGAGGGCGAGAGGGGATCAGAATGGGGAGGAAGGGAAGGGGGGGATGAGGGGAGAAGGAAGCCTGGGAGGGGAGAGGGAAGAGCAGGAGGGAGGAGGAAACGCTGCAGGATGGCCACGAGAGGGGCCATCTGGGCCTGGCCGGGGCCGTCCTGGCCGACTTGGCCACCGTCAAGCTGATCGGGAGGGGCGCCTTCGGGGTCGTCCGGCTGTGCCAGTCGGAGCGGTCGGGGGAGCTCTTTGCGCTGAAGGAGGCGCGGGCGGGGCGATGGGGAGGGAGGAGGACGGGGGAGTGGAGGAGGATGGGGTGATATGGGAGGGGGCGGAGGAGAAGGCAGAAAAGGGGAGGAGGACGGATGAGGAGGATGAGGAGGTGCAGGAGGAGGACGGTCTCCTTGTGCTCGTCCTCGTTCTCGTGTTTTTGCTCCTCCTCCTCCTCCTCCTCCTCCTCCTCATCCTCCTCCTCCTCCTCTTCCTGAGGAGAGAGAGCGTCAGGGAGAAAGCAGGGCGATGAAGAGAAGGTGGTTCAGGGGGACGGGGAGGGGGACAACGGCGAGAACGGGGAGGGCGGATAGAGGTTGACCAGAAGGTGGAGGAGATACGAAGGGGGCGTTCCTTAAGGAATGTGCCCAGAGGCCTTAGACCCTGTTGGCTTCCTTATCTGAGGAGGGCGGCGGTGATACCCATCGCCAATTCACGATTGAAGCTCCACTGGCTTCGGGATTCTGGATTTCTTCTCCAATGGTTGCTTATCCAAAGCCCTCGCCGTAGAAGGTGGAGGAGATAGGACTCAGGAGGGGCCGTGAGGAACTGGAGCGAGTTGAAGCAGGCTGCGCAAGCTGGAACCTTGATCCTCCCCCCTCCGCCCAGACCTCCCAACGTTTTCGCTGCTTCGGCGAAACAGGAAATTACAGCATGACCCCCGCCCCTCCCCCTTGCCAGGCTTTTCAATCCCCGTCTCATCGTTGACGGCCCCTGGGCCTGTTGAGGAGGACCCCGAGAGGCCGAACCCTGCCCAGAAGCTCGCCGTCGTGATTTCTCATGACGCGTGTGGGGGGGGGGTAAGCTCCCCCTCCCATCAGCATCGTCGGCCCGATCACCCTCCCCTCAACATCGTCAACATCAACGCGATCCTTCGTGATTTGAACCCCCCCCCTCCCGTCAGCATCGTCGGGCCGATATCCCCCTCCCCGGGGGGCCAGGGCTCCACAGGGCTCCTCCGCGCCGCCAGCCTGCCCCCTCGAGGTGGGGATGCCTGCTGCGAGGCCCAGCGTCGACGGCACCCATCCCCGCCTGGACGGCCAGGCATTTCCCGGAGAGGAGTGGGACTGGTCTTATGTCGGGCGCGTCCCTCTACAGAAAGATTATTGAAAAATACAGAAAAAATAGTCTGGGGACGATTTCCTAAGTATGTTTGAATATTTTTGGGCTATTTTTTAATAATTCTAAGTTTCCGTTCAAAATCCGCCTGTAGGAGGACACGCCCGACCTAAGCCTAAGACCGGTCTGACGATGCCGAGCTCTCCCCGGACATCTGGGGCTCCGATGCTTTCGGCGCCTGGGCCCCAGCGCCTGTCGACCTCTTACCCGCAGGGCCGGCTTGCCGGTCCGAGTCGTTTGTGCCAAGGCTCATGAAGGAACGTACACCAGATTTCGTAATAAATGGAGGGGGGTCTCATTTCGGGGGGGGTCTCTTCCAGGCCATCTTGGAGGGCCTGGGGGGGTCTGGGGACGATGTTTTGGAGGGTTCTCCCACGGGGGAGGTCTGAAATGGCTTGTCTTGGAGGGTCCAGACCCCCTCCCTTTTATTACGAAATCTGGAGTACACAATGATCGCCCCCAAGTGCCCTCGCATCGCGCCGGCAGAGAGGCCTGCGAGTCCACCCCGTCCATGCAGGAGCAGGCGGCTCCGCTGTCGGGTGCCTGTCGCCGATCTCTCGGCGACTTACCGCCGAGTCAAGCTCGGCTTGTTTCCACCCGAGCTGGTGCTCCCCTCTCGTTGGGATGCAGCCCCTCGACACATTGGAACTCTGGCAGAATCCAATTCGATTCGGCTTGATCCCGCTTCATCCCGGGCGCACTCTGGCCTGATCTGGCTCGGTGGCGCTTTATCGGGCTTGGCTCGATTATGGCCGGCTTTAGTGACTCTTATCAGAGGTCCGCGCGGATTTCTTGCATCGGCGCTGGGCCCCCCTGGCGGCGCCTCCAGCGCCGCCCCTGGCGCGCTCCGCGCGCCAGGGAGGTGGGTCCAACGCCTATCCAAGAAAACAGCCTGGGCCTCGAACTGTTCGTGTTCGTTCAGCTTCTCTTTCACTCTTGGTATCCAATACCCCTCGCGGTCGAGAACTTTGGAGTTAATTTAGCGCGGCGCGCCGCCGTTTCTGGCCCGCCACGTTTCGGTACGACACGCTATCCACTTCCAGTTGTCATGCTTCAACGTCCTGAGCCTTTCCGAGCCTCGCGCCCCGCGGAGCAGAGCGACGCGCTGTCCGCTCCTGCAGGGCATGGCGTGTCGTCTGGGGCCGCCGCCGCGACACGCGAAGCGAATGCTCCCAACCGCAGCCGTTCTTGAGACGACGTCCCAGGAGCTGCCTCCTGTCACTATTGGAGTCGGAGATCGACTGCATAATCGATGTCCATCGAGTCTACGAACAAGATACATACTGTTCGGAGATCTACGGAACATTCTACGCTTTTCTCGGAGACTCGACAAACAAACACAGTTCTGCACTACATCAGTTTCTGTAGTCGATCTCCTATTTGAGCCATCGCTGTGCCCCTCGCGCCTGGTGGCCTACCCTGAAGTCGGGAACGTCCCTCTACAGGAGGAACATCCAAAAGTAGTTCTCAAAAGACCGACTGGGGACGATGATCGGCCATTTCTGACCATCCTTGAGTGCTCTCTGACTAGTGTCTCTTTTCCCTGTCGCCCAGAAGCCGCCTGCGGGGGCACGCGCGCCCGACCCGAGCCTGCCCCCGCCGGCAGAGGTGCGCCTGGCCGCGCCCGAGGGCGCGGAGGCCCCGCCGGGCGGGCGCCACCCGGGGCCCGGGGCCACGCGGCCCGTGCCCCCGGAGCGGGCGCGCGCGGAGGCCGAGGCGCCGCCGCCCCCCCGAGAGAGAGGCCGCGCCCCTCGCGGGAGGAGGTCGGCGCGGAGGCGGGGGCGGAGGCGCGGCGGAGGCGGAGGCGGAGGCGGGGGAGGAGGAAAAGGAGGGGCGGTGGAGGAGAGAGGAGGCGAGAGGAGGCGAGAGGAGGAGAGAGGAGGAGAGAGGAGGAGGAGGAGGAGGAGAGGAGGAGGAGGAGGAGGAGGAGGTCGCCCCGCGCGCACGGAGCGGCGTGCTCGTGAGTCTGGGCCACCCAGATGGGGTCAGAGCTGATGGGGTCGGAGGATCGCGCCGCATCGATGCATCGGCGATGCGGCTCGATGTGCGGTCCAATTTTTCCCACGCCGACGTCGCCGATGTATCGACGATGCGTTGGCGATGCGGCGCGACCCTCCGCCCCATGTCAGCTCGCACGAGGTCCCTATCAGAGGAGCAATAACTTCGTGATCATGATACGTTTCAAGAATTTCACGATTTCTGGCTGGCCTGGATTTCCTACTGCTCCGCAGGGGCTTCAGGAACAAGAGGCCAATAGATATTCCGGAGATCCTGGAGCGCATCCTGAGCCAGTCGCATCATGACATCATTCTTCGTTCTACCCCCTGCAGCTAGACGTGCTCGCGCCGTTTTTGTATTGTTTTGTTAGTGTTCTTGCAGTTCGGCAGTTCCTGGAGGTTCCCCTGCCTCGGGATGCGTTTCCGCAGCTGGGCCTCGCCGAGGGCGTTCTGGGGCGGCCCAGCTCGCCCCGGACGGCCGCCAGTGGCCCGAGCTAACGTTAGGCTGCCGTGACACAAGTTGTTTTGCCAGCTCGGATGTGATGTTGAGTCTCCACTGGGATCGGCGCAGTGGGTGCTGAGGGGATAGGGAGGTTATGAGCGGAAGCCACGGTGGTCATATTTGGCCCAACCTGGCTTATAAGTGGGTTACACATGCCCGAAGGGGCTTGGGGAGTGGTGGTAGCTCTGCTACGTGGGCAGAATAGAAACCACCCCCCAGGCCCCTTTGGGCATTTGCAACCCACTCATAAGTCAGGTTGGGCCAGATCCCTTCGCAACCGCCGTGCCGATCCCAGTACTCTCTGAAGGTACCGACAGCCAGGTGTTCCTTGCTTTTCATGAGCATATCGTATCGACGACGAACGACGGCGACGGCCGACTAACATCGACGACTACGACGTCTGGGGGTTGTGTCGGGGTCCGCCTGGGGCGCCGGGGAGGGTTCAGTCGGAGGTGCATTCTGGTGCATTCGGGGGTCCATTCGCGGTTCATTCGGGTTCATTGGGGCTCATTCGGCCCCAGCGGGTGGTCTCAAAGTCGTTGGTTTTTCCAGGATTCGGAGCCCGCGGTGGCACATTCGCCTGCAACCGCCCCTCCCTCAGATGTCAGATATTACTAAAAGCGGAGCCCACGAGTGGGGACGCGTCCTCGAAGCGCTCCTTTTTACAATTTTCTCTCGGCGATCTCGGCGGGTCGCGGTCCGCTTTCTAGATTTGGCCTCCTAGAATTTTACGACTGCGTCCGTCTTTGTCCGTCGGTCGTCGTCGGTCGGTCGGTCGGTCCGTCCGTCGTTGTCGTCGTCGTCGTCGTCGTCGTCGTCGTTCTGTCGCTATTGGTCGGTCGATCTGTCGTCGTCGTCCGTCGGTCGTCGCCGTCGGTCGTCGTCCTCGTCGTTCGGTCGTCGTGGGTCTGTCGGTCGGTGGTCGTTGCCGTCGTCGTTGCCTGTCAGTCGTCGTCGTCGCCGTCGGTCGACGTCGTCGTCGTTGATCTCCGGGTCGGCCAGACGGTCGGTCGTCGCCGTTGTCGATCGCTCGGTCGCTCGGTCGGTCGGTCGGTCGTCGTCGTTCGTGGTGGTGGTCGTTGTCGGTCGCTCGGTCACTCGGCCGCGGGGTCGCTCGGTCGTTCTCGGTCGCCTTTGGGCGTCGTGGAGGGTTCCCATAAGGATCGGTTTCGGGGAAGGGAACAAGAACACCTCTGGAGAACGTCAGCCACGCGCAGAGTGGGGTGGGGGGAGGGGGAAGGGCTTCTGAGGAACACCCCTGCTTCTTCGATGGCGCGGGCCTGCTCTACAGATGTAAGGCCAGCACCTTCTCATAAGCAGCCTCCTTCGAAAGAAGCCTTTCCCCCTCATTCCACCCCCCTCGTGCGCGCCGCCAACAATCAAAAACGGATCGGGGGGTGCATAGAACCACCTCCAGGCGATCGCCTAGAATGCGGTGACGATAGCCTATTCGCCGATCAAGCATCATCGTTCTTTGTTGTGGACGGGTCTAGCCCCCATGAGGGGAAGCGGATCCGCCGCTGGGGAGAGAAACCAACAAAAAACAAAAACAACGAACCACCTTCGAGGAAGGGAACGAGAGTTCTCAGGCCGCGGCCTCGAACACCCACGCTCGGAGGGCGTCTGGGCGCACAGGCCGTTTCTTTCTCGCCCCCGGTGGCTGCCCCATGGAAGACGGCTCAGGGCGAGCGGGCCCCTCTCGGAAGGGGCCCCCGGATGCCTCACGGGGGGGCCGGCGCCAGGCAGACGTCGGCGTGTGCTGTAGTCTAGGCCTCCTAGACGGGGTCGGAGTAGATGGGGTCGAAGGATCGAGCCTCATCGCCAATGCATCGACGATGCGGCTCGATGTGGAGCCCGTGTTTCCCCACGCCGGCGTCGCCGATGCATCGCCGATGCATCGCCGATACATCGGCGATGCATTGGCGATGCGGCGCGATCCTTCGACCCCATCTACTCCGACCCCATCTAGGAGGCCTCTGTGTAGGGGGAAAGGCCGGCGGCGAGACGCCGGGCCCGGCCCTCGCCGATGCGCGGTTCTCTGGCAACTCGAGGGGCGGCGGGGGGCAGGGTTAAGTCGGACCTGTCCCTCTGCAGAGGGAAAGTTCGAGGATCATTGCCACGTGTACTCGGACCCCATCTAGGAGGCAGCTACGTTCGTCGAGCACGTGGCGAAGTCCGATCCCTTCCTCCCCTTCCTGCGCCGACTCAGGAGAATCGATGGTTGGTGGGGGTAGGCTTCGACGCGGAAAACAACAAGCGGCGGCTTGGTGAAGAGTCACGACCAAGGCCCAGGACCCCATCTTTCTGCGCCACTCTTCGCGCCCGATTGATCTATGGGGGTCCCGGGGCCAGAGCCTCGGCGAAACCGCCCGGTTCGAACAAAAATCAGACGCCAGGATCTCGGGGCCGACGTCGAGCAAGCGTTGGCATCGTGGGGGCCGCGGCCCCACCGTGTGCGCGCGCGAATCCAGATATGATCCATCGTTGCCCCCCCCCCCAGTGTGGCATCGAGCCCCCCCCACCCCCCACCGTTGGATGGGGGGTACGACGGTGAGCCTCGCGAATGGGATCGCTCCCTGATCACTCCCCTGTGGTCGTGGCCCTGTGGGCGTGGCGTGGTGTGGTGGGTTCCGGTGACCCCCGTCGTCGGCGTCGTCGTCGTCGTCTTGCGTCGGCGTCGGCGTCGGCCTGACGTCGGCGTCGGCGTCGTCGTCAGGGTTAGCGTCGGCGTCGGTGTCAGCGTCGGCGTCGGCGTCGGCATGGGCGTCGGCGTCGGCGTCGGCGTTGGCGTCGGCGTCGTCGGCGTCGTCGTCGTCGTCGGCGTCGTCGTTGTCGTCGCCGTCTTCGTCGTCGTCGTCGTCGATGTCGGCGTCGGCGTCGGCGTCGGCGTCGTCGCCCTCCCCCGTCCAATCTGGGGGGGGGCGTGGGCTGTGGATGCCTCGGGCCCATCCCATCTCGGGGGGGGGGTCGTCGTCGCCCCCGCCCCATCCCATCCAGGGGGTGGGGCGTGGGCTGTGGAACCCTCGGGCCCGTCCCATCTGGGGGGGTGGTCGTCGTCGCCCCCCCCGCCATCCCATTTTTTTGGGGGGTGGGTGGCGTGGGCTGTGGAGCCCTCGGGCCCATCCCATCTCGGCGGGGGACGGCTGTGGGCCCTGGGGCCCAGGATCACACATGGTAGCTTTTGTCGCGCCGTGGCCCCGCGCTATGGGCCGCCTGGCCGCACCCTTGTGGATCCACGGGCCGCCGTATGGGCCATGTAGGCATGTTGGGGGCGCCAGAGGGAGGGAGGAAGGAGGGCGCCCAGACTTGCTCGCATCGCGAACACAAATCAGGACGAATGTGCTTGGCCGTCTCTGGCCTCTTGGAGAGCCCCCGCCTGGCCCCGGGACCGTCAACACAACGACTCAGGATGACAGGCCCGTTGTGGGGAAGGGAGTTGGAACCGTGGGGGCCGCGTGTGGCAAAATCAAGGCATCGCATGCCTGGGACTGGGGGAACGAACACTTACATAAACATCGTAACTCAGAGGTCCGCGCGGAGTTCTCGGATCGGCGCTGGGGCCCCCCAGCGGCGCCTCCGGCGCCGCCCCTGGCGCGCTCCGCTCGCCAGGGAGGGATGTCCAGCGCCGATCCGAGAACTTCGCGCGCACCTCAGAGTTTTCATGTTTATGTCATTGTCCATTGCCCTAGGGAAGGACGACTCAGGAGAGGAAAAAACACACAGACACAATTAATCGTCGATTTCCAGGAAAATATGGGAAAATATGGGAAGTGGGGGGGAAGACAAAAACCAAGAAAATATGGGAAAATATGGGGAAAACAATTATTTGTGTGTATTTATTTGTGTGTCCTGGGGCCCCTTCAAAGACGCCAGCCGGGGGCCACCGAGTCCGGTGCGGGAGTGCCTCGGATGGCGCGGCCGTGCCGTCGCTGCCTCTGCTCGGGCGCGTTCCGCGTCCTCCGCGGGCCCGCCCTCGGGTCGAGGGCGCTGTCGCCAGACGCTCGAATCGAATCAAGCGGCGATTGGCCCATCGCCGAATCGAATCAATCGAGTCGAACCAATCGAGTCGAATCAAGCGACGAGCGCGCGTCGGAGGGGTGTGGGGATGTCGTGATGGCCTGGAATCTCCCAGATGTCATGGCCCACGTGTCTTTTCTCAGCGCGTGCCCTGGGACCCGCTCGTCCGCGAAAGTGCCCCGGGCCATGACGCACTCAGCCCCTCCTCCTGGCGGCCCTCCTCGTTGGTGCACCCGGGCGCGTGTACGATGTGTGCCCCGTCCGCGCAGCCTCTCGAAGGTCGCGGTTCGACGAGGTGTCTGGGGTGCTCGTCTTGCGCATTCCTGGACGTCCTGCGGCCCGGACTTGAGAGGCCCGAGGGCTCCGCAGTTTCGGCGCCTGGCGATCGGGCTCTGGGCCCAGCGTACGCGGATCGGGGACGAAGGCCTGTCCCCGCGGAGAGGAGTCGGGGCCCCTGCGGCGGCTCGCGCACTGAGGACGCCGCGTCGTGGGGCTGGCTCGGTTTCGGGACTCTGTTCACAATGTCGTTTTGTTTCACGATGTCGTGCTGTTTCACGATGTCCTCATTTCCGTCCCCATTAATGGGGCGAGCGGCTCTCTGAGTCGCCCGGCCAGACTTGCTTGCTTGCTGGAGGGCTCTCGGGGCCTTTGGGAGTCACTTGCGCCAGCATGGAGACCTCGAGGGAATGTTTCGCCAAGGGGGGGGGAGCAACGGGTCCTGAGGGAAGGGGGTCCTCAGGTTTTTCGCCCATTTCAGGCTCTCGGGGCCCTCCCCGGGCCCCGGCACTGTCAGACAACGATTCAAGATGGTGAACTCGTCCAGGGGGAAGGCCCCAGGGTCCAGGACCCGTTTCCCACGGGACCCGTTTCCCCCATGCTGCATGTTCTTTGCAATTTGCAGCTTGTGGGGAGGTACCGTAAGGCGGCGGGACCATCAGAACACGATCGGGTATAGGGGACGAACCTTTTGTCCCAGCGGGATGGGTCCAGAGGTCTGCAGAGAGTCCAGGGCCAGGCTTTGAACAGCAAGAACACAAACAACAGCATACCTTCAACAAACGTCCGTCTGGACGATATCCGTTGTGTTCGGCGTCTAGAGGCCGTTTCCGGGCCTCGGGATGTGTCATTCCCTGGGCGAAAGAGTCCCAGACATGCGCTGCCTTGAGTATTTGTTTACGGGCTCCTTGGAAGTTCCGGTCCGTTCCCCAGGGCCAGTTGTTCATCCCAAGTCGTTTTTGTGGATTGTCCCAGAGCCCGGCGACGCCCCTGGAGACCGAAAACGGTCAGAACATGTCAGTTTTTTTGTCATGACGCGAGCGTGTCCGGGATTTGTGCTGCGGAAGGGGCTGAGACCTCGGTGGGCTGAGGATTTGGAAGAGTTGCCCACCTCGGCTACTGCTTCTGCACTTCCTCCCCGCATGCCCACCTGCCTGCACCCACCCTCACGTGTCGAGTGACTCCAAGGCCTTGTAAGGCAGCACTGACCTTCGCAGGGCTCCCTGGAGCCTGAGGCCGCAGCACTCCGCTTCTGGGACGACATGTTCTGACGGCGCAGCCTCCCTCCCTTTTCCTTCTCTCCGCGGCCGCTTATCTTCCCACTTCTCGGGCTTCCTTGTGCGCAGTTCGTTTTGCTGTGTCCCAGCGCTCGCTAGGACCTCTTCGTGCGTTCGCCGAGTTTGCGGCCAACAAGAACATGAAGTCGGGCATGCCCCTCTACAGGAGGAATGTTCGACAATAGTCAAACCATCGTAGGGGGTTGATGTTCTGAGTATTGTTGAGCCTTCTTAGGATGGTGATGACTATATTTGTGTCGTCAAAATCCGCCCGCAAGACGACATGCCCGACCTAACAATAACAACATGTTTCCAAGGCCCAGGCCCAAGGTGACCCGAGCTTGTCCAGAGAGGCCCAGGCGGCCTCGGGACCATCCCTCTCGAGGCCCGGAGTGCCCCAGAGGCCCAGAGGCTTCCCCATGCCAATGTTGTTCTGGCCGCGGACTCGGCGGACGCACGAAACGGTCAAGTTAGTGCTGGGACAAATCCGAACGACGAACGGGCTGGGAGCATTTTGAGTCAGGATCCCATTCTGCTGGGCGAGACGCTCCGTCTGGTCTCGCTGGCCGTCTTGCCTGCTCTTCGTCCCACAGTGGGGGCGCGCACCCAGAAACCGTATGCCTTTGGTCAGGGCGTCCTGGGTTTCGTCGCTCCCCGAGCTGCGCGGTGACTTCCCGCGGCCGTCAAAGAAGCTGCTGCGTTCAGGGTGTTCCGGGTTTCCCCTCAGGTGCACCTCGCGCGCGAGTTTTGAGGGCTGGGTTTCTTGCAGGGTGTCTTGCGGCCGCGCCCGCACTGCATCCTGCTGCCTGCCAGCATTCCCTATGACGTGCTCCCTTAGGCCGTCTGCCTTCCTTTTGCCGCCAGCCTTATCCTGATTATCACCCGGCCACTTAGGGGCAAGGGAGGCCGTTTTGACCCATTCAGTTTCGCAACACGCGGAAGCCCCGCTTTCTTTATCCGACACGTCCTTCCCCGAGCTCTCGACACTCTCCCTGAGACCCGTTCTTCATCCCGGACTGGCTTCCGACGGCCCGGCAGCCCGAAGACGGCCTCACTACATCGAAACGTGCGCTCCGGTTTTGTCCACGCCATTGCGGGCCCGCCCTCCCCCCTCCCCCCACCCCATCATTTGCACGACCGACATGGTTGCGGAAAGAGTGGGTGCAATGCCCAACAGCAGTTCCTGTTCCTTTTGAACAGGACTCGCTGTCCGCGCCGCCGCGGTCTGTTTCCATTCGAGACAGGAGGCCGCCTGCCCAACGGCGGCCGCTGTTGGCTTGGGACAACATCTGTTGTGGGGCACTGTGCCCATTCTCTCCGGGCCCATTTCGGGCGACCAAACATTACGCGCTGCCGCGCGCGTCGAGGCGCTGTCGAGCGCGGCGCGCCACCGGGAGGGCCGCTGGGTCGTCGGTCTCCACATGGCATTCCAGGACGCCGGGGGGGGCCGGAGGGCGGCAAAGAGGGGGGTGATGACTGGGGGGGGGTGGATATCATGGCGGGGCCAAGACATTTCCTAGATTTCATGGCGCCTTTTCTTATTAATCGCTTCGCTCATCCCGCCGGCCCTGGATCCCCCTTTAGGGCCTCTTGGGGGCCTCTTGGGGACCTCTTGGGAGTCTCTTGGGGCTCCCTGGCGGAATCTTGGTGGCCCCCAGGGCCTCTTGGGGGGCTTTGGGGGGCCTCTTGGGGCGGGAGGGGGGGTAGTCGATTGCGGCTCTGCCCTCGGAGGCCACGATCCTCGCGAGGGGTGTCGAAAAATGGCCCTCCCCTGGAGTGCTCGGGTGGCTTCTCCAGGGACCTTGCTGGGGTACTTTTCGTCCGAGGGCCCCCATGGGGCCGCTCCGCGCGCGCGAACTAGAAATATTGTTAACCAGTTACCGGAGATCTTAGCACGCCTCTGGCCCGTTGGGCCAGCGAATTTCATTACGTCCCTGGCCCCCCCGCTGGGCCGCGCATATGCCGCCGGTCATGATTTGCACCCCCCCCTCTTGGACACCCCCCTCGTGGCCGCTCCCGAGGGGGCCGAGGAGGGACGAGACTGGCGATCACGTCTCCCCCCTTCATGGGGGGCGTCGGTCACGTTCGGGGGGGAGGGGGTGTAGGGCATCGAGGCTTGACCTCAACAGGGCCACTCAAGTAGTCCAATGTGCCAACGCAGCATGTCGTAATGTTCTTCTTGGGGTGCAAGATTTGAGATGTTCAAGTCAACATCGGCGCTGGTTTATCCATGGTCGACAACTGGCCAAATCAGGCATCACCGTGCATAACCCCGTCCACTCCGGCTCATCGGGCTCAACCTTGGGCCCACTCTTGGGAAATCTCGCATAAAGGATCCCTACTCGGGCCGAGCAGCCCGTCATCGCCCTTACTTCAGCGAGCGAAGAACGGTATAAAATAAACTTTCCGCCGTCGGGGACACCTGCCCCTGGGCGGCTGGAAAGTTTATACCCCTACGGTGCCACCATAAGGGTATAAACTTTCCAGCCGCCCTGGGGCAGGTGTCCCCGACGACGAAAAGTTTATTTTATACCGTTCTTCGCCCGTTAATTACTAGAACATCCCAGGAGTGGCCTCCGCATCATTCGCCCAGGAGGACGAACTGCTGCTCCCATCGCCCCCCACACATGTCTGCATGACTCGGTCTCGTCGCAGCAGGGCTCGCACAGCCGGCCCCCGACCTCCAGGCGTCGCGAAGCACATCGCCAGGAGGAGGAGGAGGAGGAGGAGGAGGAGGAGGAGTTCTCTGGTGGTTCCTGGGGGCTTCTGGAGGGGGAGGGTTTGGAAGGTCGAGGAGGAGGAGGAGAGGGAGGAGGAGGAGGAGGAGGAGGTAGGAGGAGGAGGAGGAGAGGAGGAGGAGGTGAGGAGGAGGAGGAGGAGGAGGAGGAGGAGGGAGGAGGAGAGGAGGCGAGGTGAGGAGTAGGAGGAGGAGGAGGAGGAGGAAGGAGGAGGATGAGGGAGGAAGGAGGAGGGAGGAGGAGGAGGGAGAGGAGGAGGAGGAGGGAGGAGGAGTGCCCTCTCGCGACCTCGGCGCTTCCGTTGCTGGCCTCGGGCCTGGAAGGGGGCCCCGCCCGTAGTGCGAGCACACGCCGGCCCATTCCGGAGCGGGCCTCGCCCTCCGAGGGCGCCGAAGGACTTGCCACATCCTCTCCTCCTCCTCCTCCTCCTCCTCCCTCCTCCTCCCCCTCCCTCCTCCCTCCTCCTCCCTCCTCCTCCTCTCCTCCTCCTCCTCCTCCTCCTCCTCCTCCTCCTCCTCCTCCTCCTCCTCCTCCTGCTCCTCCTCCTCCTCCTCCTCCTCCTCCTCCTCCTCCTCCTCCTCCTCCCCTCCTCACTCTTCCTCCTTCTCTCCTCCTCCTCCTCCTCCTCCTCCTCCTCCTCCTCCTCCTCCTCCTCCTCCTCCTCCCCCTCCTCCTGCTCCTCCTCCTCCTCGCCTCCTCCTCCTCCTCCTGCTCCTCCTCCTCCCCCTGCTCCTCCTCCTCCTCCTCCTCCTCCTCCTCCTCCTCCTCCTCCTCCTGCTGCTCCTCCTCCCCCGGGGGAGGGCGGCGGCAGCCGGCAGAGGCAAGGCGAGGGCGGCCGGCAGAGGCCGGCGGAGGGCTGGCGGGGAAAAGGGCGGGAGGAAGCGACGCGCCCCCCTCCCCCCAGAGTTTGACTATAGACGTAAGAGTGACCTTTCGCCGGAGTAACCTTTGGTGCGGGCACATTGGGGTGCCACGATCGCGGAACGGGATGCGATGGCAGCGTCTTGCGCGCCTGTGGTTGGTTTCCAAAGAGCCGCGCACCGAAGGTCACTCTTACCCAAGGGTCACTCTTGCGTGTAGTCGAAGAGCGCAGCGGGCTCCCTTCTCGCAGTCGGGGGTTCCTGAAGGCAGGTTCCCCTGGCCCAAAGGTGCCCCCAGCTTCTCGCTCCGTTGCGGAGCCCCTGGGACCCGCTGCGCTGGGCCTCGTGATGGGGTGCTCTGGAGGCCGTGGGGGGCGTTCTTGGAACTCCCGGGGGCACCTTGGGCCAGGGGCACTTCAGCAGGACCCGACGGGTGATCCAGAGGAGCGCCTCGCAGCAAACAATTGCGGGACAGCATGGATGGATGGTTGGGTGTGTTGGTGGCCGTATCTATCGGGGGTGGACAGAACCCCCAACAGTGACACGTCGATTAGTGAATTATCCGTTTTCGGTTCTCGAGAGGGCGCCGTGGCCGTCATTTTCCAGGTTTGGGCCTCAGGTCGTTTTCACTAAACCACGTTTTACTAAAGGGGGGTCTGTCCATCCCCGAATCCATGTACCGCCAAACGTTTCAGATACACATTCCGAGATCTCGTATCCTGCGGTGTCCCCGGTCCCGCAGCAGACCGCCAGGCTCGGTGGTGTCTGCGGCGCCCCGTGGCCCAGGCTAGGCATAATTAGTACCCTGGCCTGTGGGACAGCAGCTCTGTCCAGGCCGAGGACAGGAGTAAAAGTAGCTCCGTCCAGGCCGAGGACAGGCGTAAAACAGGTTTGACGTTGCCGCGCTCGGTGCCATCGGAGATGTCCGCACTGTGGGGTTTTAGGGTGTACAGTCAGAGCGTGAATTACATACCCCGCTTTCGCTTCCAGGCAAAACCAAGTCATACCACGCGCCTCCTCGTCAAGCGGCCTGACCTGTACAGGCCGTAGTTTGGCATTGCTTGGTATCTCTTGGAAGCGAGGGTGGTCAAAAGCGAGGTAGGTTTGTGTGCCCCCTATACGGGGCCCTCCATGTGGCCCCGTGGGCCCAAGCCCCGAGGGGGGCTCGTTCGCGTGGTGCCCCGCGCGGAGCGGCGGCGAGCCCAGCTCGGGTGCGGCGGCGCAGGAGCCGGGAGCGGGCACGATCGCGGCGCCCGCGGGGCGGCGGCGCTGCCATGCAGCCTCCGCCCCCCCATCCTCCTCCTCCTCCTCCTCCTCCTCCTCTCCTCCTCCTCTCCTCCTCCTCCTCCTCCTCCTCTCCTCCTCCTCCTCCTCCTCCTCCTCCCTCCTCCCCCCCCCTCCTCCTCCTTCCTCCCCCTCCTCCTCCTCCTCCTCCCCTCCTCCTCCCCCTCTCCTCCTCCCCTCCTCCCCTCCTCCTCCTCCTCCTTCCCCCCCTCCTCCTCCTCTCCTCCTCCTTCTCCTTCCCCCCCTCCTCTCTCCTCCTCCTCTCCTCCTCCTCCTCCTCCTCCTCCTCCTCCTCCTCCTCCTCCTCCTCGTCCACCTCCGCCCAGGAGAAGCAGCTGCACGAACAGGAACTGTCGGAGCTCCGCAGGTTTCTGTTCACGCAGGCGGGTCTGCCCAGTCTCCAGCCCCCGCGGGCAGGCAAGGGGGCTGTGCGTGCGGCGCAGGCTCAGCGCTTGCTTCAGGCTTCTGTCGGGAGGCCGCCGCAGGCCCCTCACGCCAAGCGCTGCCATCTCGGTCAAGCTCCCGTGCACCCTGCTGCTGCTGCTCCTCCGCCTCCTCCGCCCGGCGCCCAAGGACGCCGGCTCCTTCTACTTCGTGATGGACTTCGTGCCGGGCGGCGACCTCGTGACACACCTCCAGGTGCTGGACACCTTCAACGAAGAGGAGGCCCGCTTCTACACGGCGGAGCTTGTGGAGGCCGTGGACTACATCCACACGAAGCTCGGATACATACACCGCGACATCAAGCCCGACAACATCGTTCTGGACGCGCACGGCCACGTCCGCGTTGTGGACTTCGGCGGCTGCCGGAGCCTCGGGCACGGCGGCGGCCAGTGCGAGCCGAGCCTCTGCGCCTGGGGCGCCCCGCCCTACGTTGCCCCGGAGGTGCATCGGAGAGAGTGCTACGGCAAGGATCGAATAACGTAAGCAACATCTGCATAACATAAGCGTTCGGAACTCCGCGCAGTTTTCTTGGAATCGGCGCTGGGCCCCCCTGGCAGCGCCTCTGGCGCAGCCCCTGGCGCGCTCCGCGCGCCAAAGGAAGGGGCTCCAGCGCCGATCCAAGACGTCCTCGGGGCTCCGAGCGTTCATGTTGACGTGCGCGGTTTGTTATGCCAAGGAGTCGGATTTCTGGTCAATCGGCGTGATCCTCTACGAGATGGTCTTTGGCGCTCCCCCCTTCGTGGACCACGAGCGCTCCCCAGTGGAGACGGCCAGACGCGTCTCCCAGTGGAAGGAGCACCTCTTCATCCCGTGCTGTCCGGAGGTCGGAGAGGATGAGGCCCAGGGGAGACGTGCGAACGCAAACGAAAATGTGTAACGAAGTCATTCGGAGAAAAGAGAACTTCATCAACATCAACTTTGGACAGTCCTCGCGGATTTCTTGGATCGGCGCTGGACCCACCTGCCTGGGGAGGCGCCGCCAGGGGGACCCAGCGCCGATCCTAGAAATCTGCGCGGACCGCCAAAATTTCATTTGTTCCCTAAACAGGAATTTGGCCTGGCTGGCCTGTCTCAGGAATTTGGCCTGGCTGGCAGTCTGGAGGCTCCGTACTCGCCGTCGCCGCCTCGTCGCCGTCGTGTCGCAGCCCGTCGTCTGGGCCTGGCTGGCAGTCGCCTCTGTGTCGCCGCCCGTCGTGTGGGCCTAGCTGGCGGTCTGGCGGCTCCGTGTTCGTAACACAGATTTTTTGTTACAAAAAAGAGAGATGAATTTAGATTATACCTCCCAGGGTGATCGCCCCCTTTTCGTATTCTCATTTACATGCGATTCCGCCCCATAGTCCATCTAAATCTAAATTCGTATCACCCCAGCTAAACCGTATCGATATCCCTTCATCCGTTGCAAAAAGTACTATGCGCGCGCAGTCGTTTATCACAAATCATTAGTTGTCAAGAACCCCTTGCAAAAATGTGACAAAGCGCACACGCGCGCGTCGTCGCGCGCGCATTCCGAAATCCGCCAACAAAAACCATAGGCTGTGTGAGAATGTCAAAATCGGGTGGCCCCAAAACATGTTAAAGCATGGTTTCGCAGCGCGGACGTTCAACAAAAGCTTGCGGCCGCGCTCGTGCGAATGCTTGCGAAAACATATATATATATATATATATACAAGACTGCAGTGGCGCTTCGCGCCATGCAGCTTGGTCCGTGAAGTTTGGTATGCAGGCGGAATAGCAGGAAGGTCAAGCCGACAATTTAGCGATAACTCGTGGTTGCCTTTTCTGGCATCGCCGCTATAATAATGTTATTCGTTATCCTTCCTCCATGTTTCTTTTTTCTTATTTTCGCTATGCCCTGCGTATTCTCCCCGTCATCCTCAGCTGTTGTTTGCGGAGGCTCCTCTTTGGAGAGCCTCTAGGGGCCTCACAAAAGTTGTTGAAGGCTTTCGTAAGGCCTTCTGGAGACCTCCTGGGCGTATTCTGGGGGCCTCCAGGGGCTTCCTCGGGCCACCCTGCCTCCAACCGCGGTCTCCCTGAACGAGCGAATCACGATTTGGAATTCTTCGGAGGGTGTCTTTGGGCCATCTAGGGCCGCCATGAGGTTCTCTAAGGGCCATCTTGGACCCGTGTTGTGCCGTTTTGGGGCTCTCTTGGACTGCCTGGAAGCCCTTTCGGATGGTTGTGGGGCGATTTGGGGGCCTCCCTGGCGGCTTCGGACGCCCAGAAGGCCGCCGTCTTGGAGCGTCGGGAAGCCGAAAAGAGAAGAACCCTAACAATCACCAGAAACCAACAGAAAATCAAAGATTTTTGTCTCGGGGGGCCTTTTTGGGAGTGCTCTTGGAGGCCTCTTTGGGGCCGTCCTGGAGGCCTCTTGGGCCATCTTGAGGTCACGTCGGTCACTCGTGGAGAGCTCTTGTGCTGTCTTGGGGGTCTTTGGGACGTCTCCGATGACCCCCCTGATCGTCGTAGGTGTGCTGGCAAAACGTCATGTGAGGCCCAGTGGCCGCTTCGAGGCCCGTCTGGAGGGTCCCAAAGCCCCAGGTCCCCGGAGTCCCGTTTTTGTTCCCCCACATCCTAAGTGGGGTTCTTGTTTTCTCTGCACACCCTCCGCGCAGGATCTCTCGTCCTCCTCCCTCTCCTCTGCTCCTCTTTGCTTCCTCCTCCGCATCATCATCACCATCATCATCACTCCCCACTCATCATCATCACCATTAGCATCACCATTACCATCCCACGATTACTCACCATCATCGGCATCGAACGATCATCATCATCATCATCATCATCATCACTACTCGCTGACTTGAGGCCTGAATATGGAGGAAGTATCAGGCGGGAGCCTCGTCTGTGAGTGACTTGTGAGGAAGTCTCAGGCGGGAGCCCCCTCCCTATGGGGCCCGCAGATCATGTTACTAATCCGAGCGGGTCATCGGATTCTTGTAACTGTCGTCACCTTTGGGCTCCTCAGGTCTGAATTTGGAGGAAGTATCAAGCGGGAGCCTCGTCTGTGAGTGAATTGTGAGGAAGTCTCAGGCGGGAGCCCCCTCCCTATGGGGCCCGCAGATCATGTTATTAATCCGAGCGGGTCATCGGATTCTTGTAACTGTCGTCACTTTTGGGCTCCTCAGGTTTGAATTTGGAGGAAGTATCAAGCGGGAGCCTCGTCTGTGAGTGAATTGCGAGGAAGTCTTAAGCGGGAACCCCCTCCCGATGGGGCCCGCGGATCATGTTACTAATCCGAGCGGGTCGTCGGATTCCTGTAATTGTCGTCACTTTTGGGCTCCTCAGGTTTGAATTTGGAGGAAGTATCAGGCGGGAGCCTCGTTTGTCAGCGAATTGCGAGCAAGTCTCAGGCGGGAGCCCCCTCCCTATGGGGCCCGCAGATCATGTTATTAATCAGAGCGGGTCATCGGATTCTTGTAACAGTCGTCACTTTTGAGCTCCTCAGTATGAATTTGGAGGAAGTATCAAGCGGGAGCCTCGTCTGTGAGTGAATTGCGAGCAAGTCTCAGGCGGGAGCCCCCTCCTTATGGGGCCCGCAGATCATGTTATTAATCCGAGCGGGCAATCGGATTCTTGTAACTGTCCTCACTTTTGGGCTCCTCAGGTCTGAATTTGGAAGAAGTATTAAGCGGGAGCCTCGTCTGTGAGTGAATTGTGAGGAAATCTCAGGCGGGAGCCCCCTCCCTATGGGGCCCGCAGATCATGTTATTAATCCGAGCGGGTCATCGGATTCTTGTAACCGTCGTCACTTTTGGGCTCCTCAGGTGTGAATTTGGAGGAGGTATCAAGCGGGAACCTCGTCTGTGAGTAAATTGTGAGGAAGTCTTAAGCGGGAACCCCCTCCCTATGGGGCCCGCAGATCATGTTATTAATCCAAGCGGGTCATCGGATTCCTGTAACTGTCGTCACTTTTGAGCTCCTCAGGTCTGAATTTGGAGGATGTATCAGGCGGGAGCCTCGTTTGTGAGTGAATTGCGAGCAAGTCTCAGGCGGGAGCCCCCTCCCTATGGGGCCAGCAGATCATGTTATTAATCCGAGCGGGTCATCGGATTCTTGTTGAATTTGGAAGAAGTATCAAGCGGGACCTTCGTCTGTGAGTGAATTGTGAGGACGCGTCAGGCGGGAGCCTTCCTATGGGTCCCGCAGCTCACGTGGTTCCTCCGGGTCATCCTCCGGCGCGCGCTTCCTCTGGGTCGTCCTCCGGCGCGTATCGGCTGGGACGCACGTCGTGCGCTCCCTTTGGGTCGTGTTCCACACGACGACGAGGAGGAGGAGGATTGCCAGGAAAAGGAGGAGGGATGATGCAGGACGAGACAGGAAAGCAGGAAAAGGAAGAGGCTGAGGGGAGGAAGGACGAGGAGGAAAAGGAGGAGGAGGAATGCCCGAGGAGGCCCCAGTAGGTCCCGGAAGGCCCAGAAGGCTCCAGGAGGCCCCAAGAGGCCCCAGGAGGCCCCAGGAGGGGGCAAAAGGCCTAAGGAGGAGGCAGGAGGAGGAGGAGGAGGAGGAGGAGGAGGAGGAGGAGGAGGAGGAGGAGGAGGAGGGGAGGAGGAGGAGAGGAGGAGGAGGAGGAGGAGGAGAGGAGGAGGAGGAGGAGGAGGAGGAGGGGGGGGAGGAGGGGGGAGGAATATGGAAACGAGGAGGAGGAGGAGGAGGAGGAGGAGGAGGAGGAGGAAGCGGATGAGGGAGAGGGAGAGGAGGAGGACAGGGGATGAGGAGGAGGAGGAGGAGGAGGAGGAGGAGAAGGGAGAGGGAGAGCAGGAGGAGGAGGCAGGAGGCAGGAGGGGCAGGGGGAATGGGGGGGAGGAAGCATAACGAGGGGGAGGGGGAGGAGGTGGAGGAGGCAAGAAGAGGAGGAAAAGGCAGGGGTTGAGGCAGGAGGAGGAGCAGACAGGAGGAGAACGAGGAGGCAAGAGTAGGTGGGAGAAGGGAAGGGGCAGGAGGATACCCCCATGCAAGCTAAAGAGATTATCATGTGGGGTCCTTCCGTCGGAGTAATTCCCAACCCTCCTGCGTTGGGTACTCGTTTTGAATAGAGCACTGCGGTCTCCACCTTCCTTCCTTCCTTCCTTCCCGCCTCCTCCTCCTCTCTTCCCTCTTCCTCTCCTCTCTTGCTTCCCTTCTCCGCCTTTCTTCGCTCCTCCTCTTCTCGCTTGCCTTTTACCTACCTAGCTTGCCGCTCGCCATCCCTGGGGGGCGGCGATCTGTGAAACTGTCGCCACTTTCGAGGCCTGCTGGGGGGCCCAGCGGAGTGACGCCCTACGGGGATTCAGATTAGACCTCGCCATCCCTGGGGGGCTGCGATCTGTGAAACTGTCGCCACTTTCGAGGCTGCTGGGGGGCCCAGCGGAGTGACGCCCTACGGGGATTCAGATTAGACCTCGCCATCCCTGGGGGGCTGCGATCTGTGAAACTGTCGCCACTTTCGAGGCTGCTGGGGGGCCCAGCGGAGTGACGCCCTACGGGGATTCAGATTAGACCTCGCCATCCCTGGGGGGCTGCGATCTGTGAAACTGTCGCCACTTTCGAGGGCTGCTGGGGGGCCCAGCGGAGTGACGCCCTACGGGGACTCAGATTAGACCTCGCCATCCCTGGGGGGCTGCGATCTGTGAAACTGTCGCCACTTTCGAGGGCTGCTGGGGGGCCCAGCGGAGTGACGCCCTACGGGGATTCAGATTAGACCTCGCCATTCCTGGGGGGCTGCGATCTGTGAAACTGTCGCCACTTTCGAGGGCTGCTGGGGGGCCCAGCGGAGTGACGCCCTACGGGGATTCAGATTAGACCTCGCCATCCCTGGGGGGCTGCGATCTGTGAAACTGTCGCCACTTTCGAAGGCTGCG